TTATTAGCACCACGCTCTGACCAGCTGAGCTAACCGGCCTGACATTTGCACCATTTTTTTCCAATTTTTTTCAAAATGAAACTCAATCTAGTCATCAGAATGGGCACATTGGTGGATTGAACAGACAACCATAGCTCGAGGCATCATTCCCTAATCCGCCTTTTTCAAGGGTCATTGAGACTTGAAATTTGTTCCTTACTTTTTCTGGACACCGTTACCATGGAGGTTGCACAGTGTAACATATGGAAACAAATAAAACATAATGAATATAAAATGGTCAGTTATTCTTGTCTCACAAGCTCTTTGTGATCAGCCTAAAACATCCAATAAACCTGTGCTGTAGGTGTTTTGTGTGCCATGTTCGCCATCGCCGACACAGTGAAGGCAGAGTCGGCGTTAGCGGTGCACACACTCAACAGCATGGGCATCGAGGTGGTGATGATAACAGGGGACAACCGGCGCACAGCCAAAGCCATAGCCGCTCAGGTAAAACTCACACATTTAAAACCTAAACACATCTGAATGCACGTAAAGTATGAAGTCAGAGTGTTTGTTTGGCTGCAGGTGGGGATCAGGAAGGTGTTCGCTGAGGTGCTGCCGTCACACAAGGTGGCAAAAGTGCAGGAGCTGCAGGAGCGAGGCCTTCGAGTGGCCATGGTGGGCGACGGCGTCAACGATTCGCCCGCCCTCGCCCGCGCAGACGTCGGCATTGCCATCGGCACGGGAACCGACGTGGCCACTGAGGCGGCCGACATCGTCCTGATCCGAGTAGGTGGCTGACAGAGTGTAGAGGCTCGGTGGCGTCTGTAAACTGTCTGACCTGAAGGGTTTCACGCTCTGCAGAACGACCTGCTGGACGTGGTGGCGAGCGTCGAGCTGTCCAAGAAGACAGTGCGCAGGATACGGATCAACTTCGTCTTCGCCCTCATCTACAACCTCCTGGGGATACCAGTCGCTGCAGGTGAGAGTACACCACTTACTGTTTGTCATCTGAAAGGTCCCACATGGTGAAGATCCATTTTTATTGTGTTTTTTCTCTAAAATACTTTAGGTGTTAACAAAAGTCGTGAGAATATGTCAACCTTTTACATTTTTCCAGTTGGGTGGCTCAACCAGACAGCTTTACAAGCCAGCAAGTAGTTTGTTCAGTGTCTAAGTCCAACTGAGGAACCAATAGTCTCTGTTTAGCTCCGCCCCCTCACTGCTTTCAGGTGAACCAATCAGAATCAGCAGTTGCTTCACTGTCACAGTCCACACGAAAACCAACAATTCACATTTTTTTTTAGCAAAACAAAGTTCAGTGACATGACAAGCACTAACATGCTATTTAAGAGTTCAGAATCCTGGCCAGTATGGGGCTTGAACCCATGACCTTGGCGTTATTAGCATCATGCTCTGACCAGCTGAGCTAACCGGCCTGGTCTGCTAGTGTTCTTATGTCCAAGTTTGTTAAAAAATGACACTGGATTTGGTGCAAAAAGTAGAGTGAATGGTCAGGAATTGAACAGAAATCTCTGCCAATTTAGACCAATGCTCTAAAAGTAAGGTTACTGTTAGAACCTTTAGTGAAATTGTGGCCAGTATGGGGCTTGAACCCATGACCTTGGCGTTATTAGCACCACGCTCTGACCAGCTGAGCTAACCGGCCTGATGTTCGACCTTTTTTGACCAAATTTGATCACAAATAACACTGAATCTGGAGTAAAAAGTACAGTGAATGGTCAAGAATTGAACGGAAATCACTGCCAATTTAGGGTAATGCTCTCAAACTAAAGTTCATTTAGGGTTACTGTTAGAACCTTTAGTGAAATTGTGGCCAGTATGGGGCTTGAACCCATGACCTTGGCGTTATTAGCACCACGCTCTGACCAGCTGAGCTAACCAGCCACATTTCTGTGATGTTTTTGACTAATTTGCTCTTCTTTTGTTTCAGATTCAGTGTCACTTCTGAAGAAATTTGGTCAAACAACTCCTAAAAAACAGGCCGGTTAGCTCAGCTGGTCAGATCGTGGTGCTAATAACGCCAAGGTCATGGGTTCAATCCCCATACTGGCCAGAGTTAAGCAAGAGACAGGCTTGTAGTTGTAAATGAGCTTTCTCATAATAAATAATTCTCATTTGTCATAATTTCTTTGCCATTGTAGTTTAAACTTAGCTTAGACATCAAATGGTATGACTGTATGTACCTTTACAACATTTAGTGTCTTGGGGATTAAATCCATGACCTTAGCATTGTTAGCTAACTAGCCTGTCATTGAAGAGTTTTTTTCTTTTATAGTCGGTGTTGTTCGCTGAGAAAGAATCCAGTAAACCTGAAACTACAAATATCATGATTTGGAAACAATCATAACAGTTGGTCCACTCCTGCACCATGTGGATAACAAGTCAGTCGGACTTTGACTACTGCCGGTACAATCCTCTGCTCTGTTGGTTCCAGGCGTGTTTATGCCCGTCGGCCTGGTTCTGCAGCCCTGGATGGGTTCAGCTGCGATGGCCGCCTCGTCTGTTTCAGTGGTGCTGTCGTCTTTGCTGCTGAGGATGTGAGTCCACATCACCTACGTTCCTACGTTCCTATTCAGCAATATTCACTGATAGTTGTCATCATACTGTGAATCCTTCAGGTGGCAAATATGACATCTGTTTCTGAGAAATCCACTTAGGAGGTAATGCATTTAAAAATACCTCAGAAATACAAAACAACAGCTCCACAGGGCATCTTTAAGTTAAGTAAACAACAGCAAACATAAGTGGAAAGACAGGAAAACAGGTTGTAAGGAGTTGTCGGATCAGATAAAACGTGTTTTAGACACTTAATTGGGCAAAAAAATAAATAAAATCAGCATAAAATCAATGGAATACTAATAAATAAATAAAATAAAATAAAAAAAATATAAAATAACCAAAACAATAAATTGAGATCTTTACATTATGTTTTGTTTTGGCCTCTGTGATCTTGGAAAAACGTATAATTTAAAAAAAAAATTTTAATCTGTAAAATAACAGTTTAATAATTATTTACAATTTTTCAATCTTTGATATATTTAAAAAATATATATAATGTAAATGTCTTTAAAATAATATTTATAATGGGTTTAAATACAGTAAAAAATTGTCTAAGTTTATAACAAAAAATATACAAAAAATCTCAGTTTTTGCCTGTTTGTCATTTTTATAGATATCGTAAGAAGTTAAACTACCTGTCATGTGTACATGGAGCAGCCACAGCAATAAAACCACCTTCCTAGTGTCATGTCGGTCACCTCCCCTATCACTGGTTCTGATTTTGTGGCTCTCTGGAGGTGAACGTCTTAACTCGCTGTGTCCCGCAGGTACAAGAAAACCTCCGTTGAGCTCTACGAGGTTCGTGCAAGAGGCCAAATGAGGAGCCTCCGGTCGTCTCAGATCAGCACACATCCGGGTCTGGACGGTCGGCGCCGCAGCCCGGCTCTACCCGACTCGACCCGCGACCCCGGGGCCCCTCCGGCCCTTTCCAGCCGGGCCTCCGTCCAGGGCCCAACCGGGAGCGCTGCCCAGGAACAGGACCGCTACTCCCTGCTGGAGGCCGGAGAGGAGCTCAAGTAAAGGGAAGACACTTTCTACCTGGTTCTCATGTTTACGAGTGTATTTATGTAAAAAGACTCATTTTGCACAGAGACTTTAACCCTGTGGACGCTTCATGTGCTCCTGTCACATTTTCTACTCATTTTTCACTGCATTATAAAGTCCTGCACCTGAAGAACTCACAGATGTCTTTTCTATGGTTGATTTTATCTGTCCAAACTTTTACACAAAATGACTCAAACTAGTGCAAAAATAACTTTAAAGACACCTCAAAATGGACTCAGGATTACCCAAACTCGTCCAAAATGACTAAACATTTGTCCAGGGATTTGTCAAACTCACCTTAAAACTTGTTTGTAATGAGTCAAAATTTTTCCAGAACCACTTAAAAATTCATCCAGAATGAAGAAAGCTCGCCCCAGATGACTACAACTTGCTCAAAACAACTACAAAATGTCCAAAAAGACTCAAAGTTGTCCAAAATGATTTTAAATTAGTCCCTAAAATTTGCCCAAAGTGACAAAAAATTGTCTAAAATGACTGATTTTAAATTTTTTTACCCCCTAAAATGACAAGAACTGATCCAAAAATCATGACCTGTCCGACGTTCTGGCTGATAAATGTTGTCATGATTGTGTGATTTTTCTTTTCTTTCAAACCTGCTGGCGGGTTTTTGGGGCTCAGAGGATTTAGTGCTCTCTTGTTTTAGTTCCACACTTCCTCAGCGTTTAGCTCATGAACCCAGCTGAACCGTTTCTTGACCTCGGTGAAGGATTGCGTCGTTTCCTGCACCAGGTGAATCAAAGTTTCTCTCTTGAATAAAACCCTCTAAAGCTGCTGTGGAATTACACTTCTGCAACACAAACACACATTTTCTGTTTGCTGCTGGAGTGTGGGTCGAAGAAAAGTATGTTTGAATGTTAAAGGAAGCTCCACGACGTGAGGAAGGAGGAGACTGTCTGGGTCTCAAGCTGTGCCTCAGATGATTCATGGAGAACATTAATTAAATGACCTCATACGTGGATTCTATAGTTATCCGCCCAGAATGAGTTTCACATTTTGTTGAGCTTCATCATAAGTGAGCAGATATATGGACTGCTGAGGCTGTAAATGTGACAGCTGTGGTGTGGATCCTGTTGTTAATGTGATCGATTACAGACGGTTTCATTATCTTCCTGTTATACCGACTTTAAACTATTTCTGTTTCCTTCACGTTTAATTGATCGATCTTCCCGACTTGTTCAAAAGATCAGGATGTTTAAACTCAAACGATCTGTTAGATTGAGTTTGTTTTATTGAAAGTTTGTTGCTTAACGTCTGTAATTTCTCTCACGTGTGGCTGATAAGATGGAGAAGGTTTGTAAATAAAACATAAAACATCTTCATTTTTTCTTCAAATATGACTTACTACGGGGGAACAGAAAACACTTTGCGGAGCCATGTTTGAACTGAAGAAGTTGGGTTTTATACGGTGGTCGACGGGGGGCAAACGACCTGCATAAACACAAATGAGCTGCAAAAACAAAACGCTGCAAATCCACTCTCACAACAGAAGTGGCCCAGCACGAAAATCAAACCAACACATTTCAACTGGAACTATCTTTCGTGTCTGGGCTGTTTTTTTCCACATTAGACAGCAGATATGTTGTGATGTTTTTCTTGTTCTTTTCTTCCGACAGTCAGCATTAACCAGTTTTCCTGTTATGGCCCGTCCACACTAATAACTATAGAGATCACTATACAGATGTGTGCGCCCACACTGACCAGCGTTAGTGTGGTCTGAAAAGAAGGACACATTTATTTATTTATTTATATGGGACAGTGCGTATTAATGTACGTACAATCTCAGGTTGTAGTAAATACGCCGGATTTAGCACAAGGCTAATATCCATCCGGTGTCCCAATGCACATGCAGGAAAACGGCAACCAGAAGATGTACTGTGATTGTAGCGAGTGTAAAGTGTAAAACAGGACATCGCATTGTGGTATTTTTTTGTGTTTTTATTACACCGGTAGTGTTTGGGCGAAATTTGCACTCGTTGCTAAGGCAACCCTGTCAGCATCCGGGCGCTGCCTCGCCGGAGACCCGGAAGAGTTTCGTCCTACATAGTCTGTAATGTTTTTGTGTGTGCAAAAAGCTCTATATATTTTTATTAGAATATATATATATATATTATTACATGTCCCAGGACACGGATCTCTTCCGGGTCCACGGGTCTACACTTCCGCTGTGAGAGTGTATATGCAGCGTTTTCTTTTTGCAGCGCGTTTCTGTTTGTGTAACGCATTCATGTCTATGCAGCTCCTTTGTGTTTATGCGCGTCGTTCGCCCCGTCGGCCACCGTAGTTAGAGCTTCAGGCTAAACTGCTTCTGAAAGCACAAGACGTTTCCTTTTTGCAGATGAAGCCTCACACATGCGTCTGTCCTCACGGTTCTGCCTTCACAAGCTGCTGCATTTGGCCAGACAAGTGGAAACTACACAGAAATATAAAACACCTCCTTACTGAGAAATGTGTGTAAAGTTAAAGCTACAGCTCACCTGGTTGAGCTGGTGACCCAGGTACAGGAGCTATAGTGTCTGATGCAGCGGCCATGGGTTCGAATCCTGCTCGTGGCCCTTTGCTGCAACCCTTCCCCCACTTTCCTGTCTCTCTTTTGACTGTCTAATCTAATAAAAGCCAAAAAAACTTTATCTTAAAAACAGCTATTGTTTCGCATAAAATGAGCAGGTGATGTAATAAATGACATTTTTACTTTCAAAGATCCTCTCTGGTTAAAATCTACTTTTTCCACCTTGTCATTGTGTCCATTTGGTGTTTTTTTATACGCAAGAAGACGTATATCGTCTCACATTAGCAGAAAACACGACGGCTGAGTTTTTCCAGCGTTAAACTGCAGCACACTGATGACAACGACACAGACTCAGAGTTTCATAATTTGTCTGTTTACAGGGTGAAGCTTTGTGTGTTACATACTGTTCCTGGTTTCAAATATTTTCCTGAGTAACTTTTAAGGAGTTTGTAGGAGTTTAATCGATGACTTTATCTACATTGTTTCATGCTTTCACCACCAGGTGGCACCAAACTGGAGGGATTCTGTCACGTTTTGACTCACTGTGGGCTCATTTTACACCACAGGAAAAAACTGTGCACCTCTACGGAAACAGAACGACTCCAGTTAGACAAAGAGAAAGCTCAGTGGTGCCTTTTCTGCAGTGTGACACAGTTAGAATGACAGAAATCAGAAACACGGTGGAAAGAAGTTGGATTTCTTTACTGATTTTTAAAAAATTATATATATATATATATATATATATATATTTTAAAAACCAACCTGGAATCAACATGTACAAGATTTTTTAAATGTCCACAGGTGTTACCAATGAGAATTTTTAGTTTATTTTTACAGAATTTAATTAGAAAAAACAACTTATTTTTGGCTAAATTTTAAATATGATGTCGAATTAAATGATTTTAATGCAATGTCACAGTTTTAATCTTAGACTTGATCATTTTTCATAACTGAGCAGCATGTCTCACACGATCAGTTCAATGACAGCAAGAAAACTGAAAATGTGACCGTTTTTTCTCGTTTTATATTTATTTGCTGCGATAAATGGTGTAATTTTGGCATTAAAAAAAAAACAAAATTCTGACTTTCACAGCTGGGTTTTGAGCTTCAGAAGGTTTAAAGGTAAATCTGAGCGGCTGGGAGGTGATTACTGGGTTGGAATAAAAGAAAAAATACATGTTTTTGACTTTTTTGTGATGTATTAGAGAGTTTTGTTTGTGAATTTATTTGACTAAAACAACGTGGGCGTATCTCTTTGGTGAACAACTCGCTATAAGAATATAGAAATCGTGGTTGTTTAAAGGACAGACTTCTGTTTTGTACTCAGAGGTGATTTACAGTCGTGACTCCATAATCCGACCCTTTGACATTCCCTCCGACTTCTTGTATGGCTTCACCTGTTTCTGTGCAACAAGCCGGAGGGACGAGGGACCAGGTGTTCTGTATCACAACCAGCTGATTGGTCCAGCTGTGGTGAGGCGTGGTTTGCCATTCTCTCTCAGACCTGCATGCAGTACTTAAGACGCCAGCAAGACGCCGGATTGTGGTAAAATCTGTTAGTTTTGCTCTCGTTTGTATGTTCTGCTCTACACCTTGATTCCTGTTCTGTTCTCCTGTGCTCCAGTTTCGCCACCAACCGTGTTCCACTCTTCTACCCTGACTCTTCACGTTTGGATTCTTCTGGTTCAAGCTTTCCATATCCTCTGTGTCAGTTTGTATCGCCGGTCCGTTCGGTACCTTTGTTCACGTTTGTATTGGTGATTGTAAATTGTGTATCATTGAATTTAACTGTTTGGTGGTCGAGTCTTTTTTGTCTGCGCCTGAGCCTTCATGTGTCAAACCGTGACACCTTTAACAATCCTAAACCTCGCTGTCCGACAGGTTTTTAGGAAAAACCAACAGAACCCGTAAAAACAGCCTTAACATACCGACAGCCTTGGATTCCGACATGACATTTAATGTCACCAATCAGGATAACGGCGTATTATCTGACTGAACAATCCCACAGATTGGCTACGTTCACGCTGCAGGACTTAACGCTCAATTTGGATTTTTTGTGAAATCCGATTTTTTTGTGAGTTTGTTCACATTTCAGTTAAATACGACTTGTATGTGATCTGCTGTGTGAACTTCATACGACCCAAAAGTGTCCCGCATGCGCAGAAGAGGACACGACGACGTCACACGCAGCGAGCGTGTTCAGTGTTTATGGAAGTAAACATGGATGGTAACGGTGGAGCGTATCTGCCACTCCCCCACCGCCATCGATGGTGGAAGCAGAAGTGTGAGCGCTAACTAAACTAGCATCAGCAGCCAAATACTGCCTGCGCGTTCTGACCACTTCCACCCCGTCAGAGCGCTTCCCCGGGGTGGAAGTGTCCCCCGACCGTGCCGAACATTAATCATTAATTGGGCCTGAATATCCAGAGAGCAGAAAGTGCTATTGGGACCAGCCCTACTAGTTATTATAACAACTATGAACAATAAATATTAACAACAAATGAGCCTTCCAGCATCAAGCCCTCCTTGTATCTCGACCTCCGTCTTGACAATCCGACATAGAAGGTTTTACATTTCGTGTCGGATCATCGAGTCACGACTGTATTTACG